CATGAATGATTCTGACACAAACACTAAAATCCAAATAGGCTTTTAGAGTCCAGATAAATAACAATACAATACAATACAATAAAAAAACAATAGCAAACAGAATTCAGCAAATGTGGAACAAATTGCAAATTTGAAAAACTTAATGCAATACTGTCATTACCGCTGGAATTTGAGCTTCAGTGAGCATGCAGCACGCCTAATGTGGGAACTGGGGGACTCTATTCAGGTCCTGCCAGGCTACGACTGGCCTCTGAGGCCATTGTTTAACACATTCTGCAAAAAGGGGGCTTCCTCCTCTGCCTGAGTGCAGTGAAATGGGGCTCCTGCTTTGCTTCCACTGTATTCCAACAAAGATGAACCCTGTTTGTAATCACACACCATTAACCTCTGACAATAAGCTGAAAGTGGCAGTGAGGTAGTGGGACGGTCTTTCATCAGTGGAACACAAAAATAGTGTCAGAGTTTAATATGGTATGTGCTGTTGCAGGACTGTGTTACAAGCTGTCACTTACTTTATTTGCTTTACTATTGTGCTTTTCCCAGATTCCTCAGCACCTGAAAAAGAGGGACAGTAGTTAAATGATGCAGCCATATCACGAATGACAGCAGCCACAAAAACACCTCCACATATTATCTCATAGCTCCAGACCACTCCAACATGGACTTAATATAATTTAATCAGGCATCAAGAAAAATCTGCCTTTTAATGAATTTCAGTGGAAGCCGCTTTAGGACAGACATTTCTGTCAGAAATTTGAGATGTTTTAGGGACGAGGGACTTTTGAGTCACTAAGCGGTTGGATGTCATTCCACAGTGACAAAAGAAATCAGGGATTTGGGAAACTGTATATCTATCTCAAAATAAACAGAAATTAGGTTTATTTTACATGAAAGAGTTAAAGGGCTTTTGGTTTGCTGCAGGGGCTTCCTTCAGCTGGGATCTGGGGACAGTGCTGTCCCGGATGCCAACATCTCCCTGTAGGAGTTGACTGCTGCTGAGGGTCTGATGGCTCCTGACAGAGCTCTTGGACGGGATAGATTGTTTGCAGACTTTTTAATCACTTCTGGAAGTGTTTGGGAGCTGACATGTGGGACGTGCTGCAGGAGTGCTGGTGGAGTGTGCCCGCCATGTACTGGAGCCAGGCCTCTGCCGCGGCAGCCCGGGTTTAATTCAGGCCTAGGTCCCCCCGCTCTCCCCCTTTCAATTTACTTTAAAGGGGTGAGTTATAGAAAACTTTGCCCTCTGTAGAGTTATCATGAATGAGGAAATTAGCTGGAAATTAACTATAGAGACCAAAACCGTTGTTAGTACCAGGCTGTAAACATTTATTTCTGCTGTAAATTTTAGCATTTGACTATGGGGCCTTATAGAGATTGACTCACTTCTGGTGCCAGCCTCAAGTGGCCGTGTGAGGAGCTGCAGTTTTTGGCACAATGTTGGCTTCATTTGCCAGTCACAGAAGTTGCCGTTTGTACAGAACCAGCGCCATATTAGATAAACAGCTGTGATTCACCCAACTGGATACAGAACTGGTGAAATACTGTCTGAGCATGAGCTTGCAGATCTGCTGGTTCCCAGGCTAACTTTCTGGCTGATAATTAAGTGTGGCTTCCTGCCAGGTCACAAACCAACTTTACACAGGCATTCACATAATCATCCAAACCCATGCAGGACTCCAAGCCAGGCCTCATTAAACAAGAATCTCAAACAGATTGTTTATGAATCACTGTTTTTAGAAATCACTGATGTGAAACCTACTTTAGCCTTTACTGTCATTATGCTCAGGGCTCAGCTACCTAAAATATCTCCTCTGCAACAAAAACAAACTGATCTAATCTGGCTGTAATCTATTAACAAAACATTAGACACAGTTTAATAGAAATTACCTCACAGTTTCTGGTACACTTGGCTCTGAAATGGTAGTAAATAGATTTACAGCCTGGTTTTGTTCTTGCCATATCTTCTGGATGAAGATTAAGTTGCCTTGTGCTTCATGTCTGGCTCTCTGCAGAGAACAGAGCATATAAATGTTAAGTGCTGCTTGCACATCGATATAGTCTACACTCACATTGAGTAAGTAAGCAGACAGCCAGTGCTCACTACAGGCACAAGAGAGTGCTGAAATACAGACCCTTAGAGTAAGTCAGGAAGTCACCAACATCATGAACCTGAAGGTTTGTTCCAGTGAGACTGAACTTTCTGAAATTAACTGTGACAGGCCAGACCTTCATCTAATGGCAAATTTTATTCAAATTTCTTAGTGCTCACTATAGAGCTCCTTTAAACTGTTGACCTATCATAGGTCAACATTTCCCTTCAGGTGTAAAGTTTTGTTGTGTTTTAGGCATTGAAGTTAAAATGGCTTGCATGAGTTACAACATGTCAACGCTTGTCAATAAAAAATAAATGCAGAAATAAATAATTAAATAGATAAATAATAATAATAATAATAATAATAATAATAATAATACATTTTGGTAATGAAAATGGTAATTCCTGTATATTTACACTTTGTTTATGCTTGTGTCATTTTTTCTCCTTTATACTACATGTGCAGTACTCGCATTAACAGACAGGACAATAATGACTAACCCTAAAGAAGTCTCTCTGAAGAGTAACTAGGAGGCCATGTCTCATGTCTCAGGCAGTATAACTGGAAGGGGCGTGGACAGCCATAACAGCCCCCTCAGTATCTGGTTTACTTCACGTGTATCAGTGCAGACGTGATGAGCAACAGAAGGAAGAAGAGGAGTGTTTGGAGTCAGATACACTAAAGACTGCAATGAAAAAGTGAAAATAAAAAGAATCTAAAGATCGATGAAGATTAAAACTGATTTCATGCGTTAAAAAGTCACAGTTCATACCGAGCAGAAGCAGTTTCACTGTTTTCTCTTTGTCTTCCTGCAGGTCTTTTTCAGTCATCATTTTACTGCTCTTCTTTGCAGCTTTGTCCTCGGTGCTGTTCACGCAGCCCATTTTCATCCTCAAACAACTTCTGTAGGGTCGGATTGCTGTGTCAGCAGCTCATTAACTGTCAGGCACCGCCGGGAAACAGCCCTGAGGATACTGAGGACTCCCAGCCGGGGAAGAGGCACTGAAACTGGAGTCTGTCCAACTATAATCCCAGAGTCTGTCCAACTATAAACCCAGAGTCTGTCCAGGTGATTCAAAACCGGATTTTATTTGGAAAAAACTCCCCAAATAGATGTATACCTTTTATTATTTTTTTATTTTATCCAACTTAAATCTGTAGTTTACTTTCACAGAAGAACATACAATATAGGTAGATAAACTACAAAACTACTTACAGAAATATCAGGCTGTTAAAGAAAAAAGCTCAATAAAAAAAACACCGGATTGTCTCCATAAGATGCTGCTGTGCATTCGCCCGTTCATCCAGCTGCAAACCAGAACAATGCTCCCCACAGGGATGATGGGAAATGTAGTCGAAAACATCAAGTCTAATACGTTGTTGGACTGTCCCTTCAGGCTCTCATGAAGACTGATTACAGTTTAACGGTCCAGTGTTTAATTAGTGTATGATCACCTGAATATAGAAATGGTTGTGTTTTCTTTACCTTAGTATTATTAATCTACGTACACCCCGGGTCCCCTTCCATAGAGTCCAACATTTTGAACCGCCATGTTTCTACAGGAGCCCAGAACGGACAAAGCAAACACTGACAGTAGAGATGGACTTTTGTGTTTTTTGCACTTTGCAACCTGCTCTCATTCCCCTAGGTTATTATTATTTCCAGGTGATTATACACTAATGAAAACATACCTATGAATATTACATTTAATGTCTCCCAATAGTTCCTCTCTGGACCTTTTAAGTGATGTTTTTTTCCTTTCACCTACATTACCTCTGTTTATTGCAGTGTGTAAATGCTCAAAAGGGAGTGGGCTGATATTTATAAATGCAAACCAGATATTAGCGTGATTATTTGGTAACTCTTCACATATATCTCTGCCTGTAATTTCTCTTGCTTATAAGGCTCATTGTAGGCGGTATGCTCACAGCAAATTGGTTTGTTGATACAGTCTGATTTGTTTTTATGAGTGTAGGCTACTTGTACTGTTTTTTTATTATACTCATATACTGATGTTTACCTTTGTTCATATCATTTGTTATATGGACCACAGCCTAAATAAATCCACACAACTGGTAAAGTCTGTTACCATGTTCTTTAATCAGAACAAACACCTGTCTTTACACCAACTCTAATCAACCTGGAGTCCTTTATAACCTCTTTCCTTACATGGTTCAAATCCACCCACAGTGGATAATATTTTATTGGTGTTGCATGTGATAAGATTATATTTAGTCTTTAAAATAGAAGAAAGGGGAGACAACTTTGTGCCATCATTTATTGATATTAAAATGAACCAGTACAGCTGCAAAAATGTGAAGAGATCTACACATGAAAACTGTTAATGCTTTCTACAAGGAAATTTCTGATCTAACCCAAACTGTGTTCCACTTCAGTGTACTGTATAACAGCAACAGACTTCCTCAGTATTATGTGACAGCTTCGGCCAAAAAACACAAGCACAGCCTTTGACTTAACTATTCCACTTTTTATGTTCAATGTGTTTAAATATCTTCACTGATATCCATAGGATTAAAAAAATACCTTGAAAAACAGGATATTCTATATTGGCCTCCACTGAGTGAATAATATTAGTCATATTTAAACTCCAATGGAAAACACAGGGAACCCAAAAGCTCCCTTACAAACTCATTTGCAGTGATGTCTCATGTATAAAAATATCATTCAATACATTGTTGTCTAGTTAATAGTTAAAATTATTATATAGACAGCTGTGCTCTGTATATAGTAGCTGTTGCTACTGAGCTCATTAAACTCTTTCCAACTAATCCCAGACCCAAAAGGTTAACTTATATACATTAAAACTGCTCACGCAAAATGCTTCTCTACATAAGTTATCGCATTCACACATCCAAAAGTGGAAATACTATATAACTGCAACTCAAAATTAAAATAAAATATAACAAAATTCAAACATTTAATAAAAGCAATGTGATACATACTTAAGCTAAGAGGAAATACAACACAAAGAAAGTGAACAGAATTTACATGTCAGCTGTGAAACTGTGAAATGCAGTAATAGATTTGATTTGTTTTGGTCCTTGTGCATATGGCAAACTATAAATGCGTCAGAGACATCAGAGGGGCTTTACCTGCCAGCCCCTGACTGATGTAAAGGTCTTGAATATGACAGGACTCCACAGAACTCACAGTGATCATTTCAGAAGCCCCCCTCCCACTTATCAGTTCCTCCTAGTATGCTCTGCATCGTTAAATCTGTTAAGACAAAAGTGATCATAGTATCAAGTCCCCGAATTGTGGAATTTAAGTCCTGCATGCAGCATGGCCACCAGCTCAGTCCTTAGTAACACATACTTTCCAATTTGCCCTCTGCAGACAAGACATACCAGCCCAGAAAGTCCTGATTTTCCTCTAGACACCTGCAAAGAGATGATATCATTAAGACCTGTGGTTACAGCAAATTCATACAATGCATCACTATGAATACGATGCCTCTAAAACATGCTTTTTTAGCTCTTTACACCTGACAAAACATCAACTGTACTTTGGGCTGAGTGCCAGAGTTAGCGTGCTAAAATGCACTCATCATGGACAGCATGATCCTCTACAGGGAACACTGATGGCAGCGAGTTTAAGGACATCCCGTCCTTGCCCCAGCCACATGTGGGTTAACCATCTCCAAACCAAAGAAACAGGTTTGAACATTTGTCATAAATTAGGAGAAATACAGGAGAATTGTGACCACGGGAGGAAACTGGGAGAGGGCAATAAAAAACTCTTCCAGAAAAATCAGGAGGGTTGACTGAAGAAGTATGACTGATCTTCTGGAGACAATGAACTGTGAACAGTGGTCCATGTGAATGTGCTGACCTGAATGGCCTGAAAATTTAGTAGAGCCCAATCTCCCTCAGGTTGATCTTGATGATGACATCGGTGACGGCATCAAACACAAACTGCACATTCTTGGTGTCTGTGGCACAAGTGAAGTGGGTGTAGATCTCTTTGGTGTCCTTTCGTTTATTTAAGTCTTCAAACTGGCACTGGATATAAGCTGCAGCCTCTTCGTATGAATTCCCACCTACAAGGAAATAAAAGGTCAGTTACGGTAACATAGATTAATCCTGGAAGATCTCTGGAAAACAGCTTAATTCATCAATCAATCAAATCAATTTATTTCTAACAATGTGGATTAAATGTACTAAAGTAACAGATACTATTAATCTGTGACCAAGTGTATTTTACAGGAGAATTGTGACACGAACCCTTGTGTTGCAGATCTAGAAATAGATTAAACTGTCAAAATACATCATGGACATCCTGAGTTTATAAAATTGACAAGCAAAAATATGGGCAATAGTGAATTATTGAGAGTTAAAGTTAAAATGCAGGTATGGTAGTCTGCTGTACAGAGAATGTATTCAGGCTTCAGTTCACATGTGATAAAGCAGCTCTGCAGTAAAACACAGAGCCTTTGTCTGATTGGTAAAAGTGTCACTAGTTCAAGCATGCACATTATAAAGACACATATTATATTCAAAGCTTATTTAACATACACCACAACCTCAAAAGTGACTAAACCGTACAGTATCCTCAAGGGTTTAAGTAAAATAAATCCAGGAACATGATCCCACTTTTCCAGGCAGTCAGTGCTCAGAAGAGCATGAAAGAGTGTAAAAACTACACACAATCTGACAATATCACATTAAAACTCAATAAATGTTCAGGTTCGTCTCACCAGAGTACTCGGGGTAGCAGATAGTAAGTGGACTCCTGTTGATCTTCTCTTCAAACAAATCCTTCTTGTTGAGGAAGAGGATGATGGAGGTGAGCGTGAACCACTTGTTGTTGCAGATGGAGTCGAAAAGCTTCATGCTCTCGTGCATCCGGTTCTGAGGAAAGAGCAGACGTGGACCCATGGTTGGTATTTTTTGTGACATACAGTGAACCTAAACCACAGTGTATTAATCACTTACCATCTCTTCATCCTCAGCCAAGACGAGGTCGTAGTCGCTGAGTGCTACACAGAAAATGATACTTGTGACTCCCTCAAAACAATGGATCCACTTCTTCCTCTCTGACCGCTGACCCCCGACATCAAACATCCTGCAGACACACAGACAGTCACTGCATAAACAAATGTAAACATAGCACTCTGTAGTATCACTGTAGACAGTGAATATACTAATTTTAATGTAATCTGAATTTTAATGTGCTTGTAAATCCAGAGCAGGTGTGTTTGTGTGTGTGTGTGTGTGTGTGTGTGTGTTGCCTCTGTCTCCACCTAAGGCCCTCAGAGTCAAACTGAATCTATACTGAGATGTTTAACTGACAGAAATTAAATGAAAGAACATTGTGTGCTTCAACACTAATTCAGTGATTGCACATTTCCAGATCCCAAGCGTTTTTTTTAAAGGGTTACAAAGGCAGGCCAGGAAGGCTATTATAGTTATTGTTTTACCAATATTTATAAGTACAAGAGCTAGACAAAATAATGTAAAAGGACTGAAGCAATATAATTACATTTACTGCAGCAAAGCTGGGTCGTATTAGGCTGAATGCCTGTCAGCAGCACTTATAACAGCAAAGCAACATGGAGCAACAAACAGAGCTCCAAACAAGCAAAATGCAGGTACATCAATTTAAAAATACTGCAGAATTATATGATGATAGGACCATTATGACAACATGTGATAAAGACAAAATCAGACTAAACCTGTATATATGTAGGATACAGTAGAAATAAAGTCACTCAACATTTAGTTGCTTCAAAGTAATGAAGTACCTCTTAGATAATGACAAAATGTTAAAAATCTGTAAACAACCTCAATGTTTATACGGTAAAATGCTTGTGTTATGTCACTGACTCTCACTGACCCCTTCATATAACTCATACATATATTCATATAGAGAGCGCTTGTAACCTATCGTCACAATTTGCACATGAAGAAGTAAAACTATCCAGTATTTCTCAAGAAAAAACAAACACCAAAGACTGGAGAAAAGTCCATTAAAAGAAACATCATTCAGAACACTGTGTTACGTCTCATAACAAGGACATCCAAATGCTCATGAACACAATAAACTGGCTCAGGCCATGGCTGTTTGTACAGCTTAATAAGTTATTTTTATTGCACTTCATGAGCAGATAAATTGCAGCTATACTAACTTGAAGTAGAGATCTTTAAAGGTGAAGTGAGTTTCCACGATGCCGGTGGTCTTCACACGTGTACGCAGCATCGGCTGACAGATCCTGTCAGAGTCATTCAGGTACCTGACAGAACGAAACACATACTGAACATGACTGCGCCACAGAGCAAACACATCATAGTACATTTTAAATGTACAGTATGGGCCGCCCTGACAGATACTTTAAAAAAAGGGGAAGAAAAAGACAATAATGCAAAACAATTAAAGGTATTTCAGACTTTTATGTCTGGTGAAGTGGAGGGTT